CTCTCTTTAAGTACTGAAAGGTTGCAATAAGGACTACCCAAAGCCTTCTCTTCTCCAGGCTGAACAACCCCAACTCTCTCAGCCTTTCCTCATAGCAGAGGTGCTCCATCCCTCTGATCATTTTTGTGGCCCTCCTCTGGACCTGCTCCCACAGTTGTTGAACCTCATGAGGTTCCCATGGGCCCACTTCTCAAGCTTTTCCAGGTCCCTCTGGATGGCACCCCGTCCCTCAGGCGTGTCAGCTGCACCTCTCAGCTTGGTGTCATCTGCAAACTTGCTGAGGGTGCACTCGATCCCACTGTCTATGTCATTGATGGAGATATTAAACAGTACTGGTCCCAGTACGGACCCCTGAGGGACACCACTTGTCACTGACCTCCATCCAGACATCGAGCCTTCGACCACTACCCTGTGGATGTGACCATCCAGCCAACTCCTCATCCACTGAACAGTCCACCCATCAAATCGGTATCTCTCCAATTTAGACAGAAGGATGTTGTGGGAGTCTGTGTCAAAGGCCTTACAGAAGTCCAGACAGATGATGTCTGTAGCTCTTCCCTTGTCCACTGATGTAGTCACTCCATCACAGAAGGCCAGTGGGTTGGTCACGCAAGACTTGCCCTTGGTGAAGCCATGCCAGCTGTCTCGAATCACCCCCGTCCTCCGTGTACCTTAGCATAGCTTCTAGGAGGATCTGTTCCATGGTCTTCCCAGGCACAGAGGTGAGGCTGACAGGTCAGTAGTTCCCAGGGTCCTCCTTTCAACCCTTTTTAAAAATGGGTGCAATGTTTCCCTTTTTCCAGTTACTGGGGACTTCACCTGACTGCCATGACTTTTCAAATATCATGGAGAATGGCTTGGCAACTACATCAGCCAATTCCCTCAGGACTCTGGGATGCATCTCGTCAGGTGCCATAGACTTATGTATGCTGAAGTTCCTCAGGCGGTCACGAACCTTATCTCTTACAGTGGGAGGGACTTTGCTCCCCCAGTCCCTGCCCTGAGGTCCATCCACTCGAGAGGTGTGGGAAGAAAGGTTGCCAGTGAAGACTGAGTTAAAAGAAGTTGTTGAGTACCTCAGCCTTCTCCTTGGCAATTGCTACCAGTTTGCCAGTCACGTTCATTGGTAGGGGGTACACTTTCTTTGACCTTCCTCTTCTGGCTGACATACCTATAGAAGCCATTATTATTATTATTATTATTATTGTCCCTTGCCAAGTTCAGCTCCAGCCATGCCTTGGCCTTCCTGACCCTGTCTCTATACAACCAGGCAACGTCCCTATACTCTTCCCAGGATATCTGTCCCTGCTTCCAGTTTCTGTGCATTACCAGCAGGTCTTGACTCATCCATGCTGGTCTCTTGCCATCCTTTCCTGATTTCTTATGCATGGGGACTGAGAGCTCTTGTGCTCTATGGAAAGCATCTTCCAGGCCTTAACACCAGACCATCCCCTCTCTTTCCAGTAAAGCCAAAGCTTTATCTCATAAAGCAGGGAAAAACAGTGGTCACCACTGCAGGTACCTGCCACTTCTGGGATAATGGCTCAGAGATTTTGAGATAAGGACTCAGCACCTTCTTACCAGGAACAGATCAAAAACTCATCCCACCGAACCAGGAATCTCTTCGCTACACAACTCTTTCATTTGGAACACCATTTAAAAACACCAAATAAATAAATAATTTTAAAAAAAAAAAAAAAAAAAAAACAACAACAAAAAAAACAAAAAAAACATTTTTTAAAAAAACAGAGCACAAAAACCACCCATCTTTGGTTTCACAACTAACTCGTCACTGAACAGAAAAATTCTGCTTCTACTAAGTCCCAAATGGAAATGTCCTCACAGAAAACATGTAGGGAGAAAGGCAGTTAACAGACTTTCCTGCTTAGATCTGAATTATTTGAAACACATTAGTAAGTATACAGATTCAAATTTCATTGGAGATCTTTTAAATTATCAGGCAAAGCCAAATACTTTCCCCTGTAAGACACTGTTCTGCATTTTATCAGAAGAGACCTCATCTAGCAAAGCTTTCTTAGTTCACTTTCCAGTATTATAAGGGAAGAATTATATGGTAAGTCTGGGAAACACTGTTCTACTAGCTATATATAGATTGTCTTGGCGATGTTCCAACTTGCAAAGTCCTCAGCAGCTTCTTCACAGAGCAAGTGAGCAACCAGTTCTCGGGATTAATGTCAAACAAAGGTTTGGCTGTCCTGGTCAGTTTTACAGATGGCAACACTTAAAAGCCTGAAATAAACAGTACATCTTAGCACTAACACGTTCAGCTACAAAGATCTATTCCTCCTGGGTTTAGTTTTCAACATACACTAACACTGGAGCTGAGAGAGAGATGAAACAATTTTCAGAGGCTAGAAAACACTAGGAATTCTCACCACTTAGTGTTAAAACTCAACTGGGTTTGTAGTTGCAAAGGGCTGGTGTAATTTTGGCTGGTTTAAATGTTCAGTATGTGCTCCCATATGCACAGATTATCTTCTGTCTCTTTGGGATTGAGTGGACATGGCAACTTCACCAGCTGTACAACTATTCCTAGTTTGCCACCAATACAGATGACAGTACACATGCCCATCATCTAGACACTAACTCAGTGGAGTGGAAATTCCCCAACACAGACGAGCCATTCTAGTCCCACATCTGTAAAATAATGAAAGGTCAAAAACCAGCACAATAAATCGTACTGAAATCAACAGGACTATCTTGGGAACTACCCAGTCAAAATCTATATGAAATTCTGATTAGTGCACAGTTGAATAAGCATTTGGTAAGGATTTGTTTGTTTTCCATTTGGTTCTTTATAGAGGGGGTTTTTTTGAGAACTCAATATACCTGATTTAAGGCAATTATCACCCACTCAAAAATTCCGTAATTGGAGTTTGACCCAGGAAACAGAATTGTGGGGAATCAGCTCTGACTGCACAAGTAGCTCAGAAATTTTGCAGTAGCCGAAATACGTTTCTCACTGTATTTGCATACAAAATCTCTACCTCAGCTTTCATTCTTCTGTTTTCATCCCAAAGTTAATAGATGGACATAAATTAGAAGAAAATGTATCTGCTTTTAGTTTAAAAAACAAAACAACAAACCAAAACACACAAACAAAAAAAAAATGCCGGCCAGCCAGCCATAGGCAGCTTTCATTTAAAATTACCACAGCCATTAAAATTCTGCAGCCAACACTCACGTACTTTCACTTCAGTTTGAAAGAGATGAATGCCTGACAACCAAAGTGGGCAGTGTAGTGTACTAGACAAAAAGATAACTGCTTAAAATGTGCAAATCAACCTCCCTGCTTATATTTATAGTTTGACTGTCCACCATTCATATTTCAAGAACATTTTACTTTTTTTAGTTATTGTAGATTGGAAATTGCATGCAGTATGAACAGTATTTAAGAGTATTGCCATCTTTTCCCTGTCTGAAAAGTACCAAGAGACAGTAGCCTACAAAGACACAATTAAAATACTTAGACTGAACTGAAACAGAATGATGGAAAGGAATATGTGATGACAACTTCACAAAAACAGTATCACTTTAAAAAAAAAAAGTGAGGCACAAAAAAGCCAGGAAGTGACAATATTTGATAAGAAGGCAAGCATTCATAATAAAAAAAAAAAGACATTAAAGTTTGATACAAGGTACCTATTTTATGAACTGGTTTTACTAACCTCCCCCCAAAATGACAGGAAAAAAATTTGATTTGTTATTAAGAGACAAAATAATAGATACTGCTGATTTAAACAGATAAATATTTACTCCACATGCTTCAAAGTACAAACAGCACAGAAAGCAAAAGGAAATATTCCTTTGCAGGTTTGTCACCATCCAAATACATTTGAACTTGAAATTTTAGTTGCATTTAAACACTTAGTAAAAGTTATCCTAAATTTGAAAGTATAGAGGAGGTAAATACTGGCCTGACATGTCTAAAAACACATTTGAATTCCAAAAGGAATTTTTCTTTCATTTAAAACTTACAGTCCCATTAATCAACATTCACAAGTGCAACCATAAAGGTACTTTTAAAGAAGTGCTGAAAGCAAGAGACCTGAATAGGAAAAACAGTTAGGTTTGACACTTCTTTATGACTTAAACCAACTTTTCTTTGCAACTAACAGTCTTATTTGCTTGTGACAAAACACCACCCAGGACAACACATTCCTACTAGAAACGCTGTTGGAATGTTAACTGCACGGACAGTGGATGGCATCTCCTTTGACACCTGAACTTGCATAATTACTGTGACTACTGGGGCAAAACACTGGCCGCCCAGGCAGCCAGGCACATGTGCAAAATACCTGCCATGCTCATGTGGTCATGAGCACAGGCTCCATCACGGCATAGGCAAAAAAAAAGTAGGTAATACTTGGGGGTACTTTTCTCCATGTAATTTCTGGTAACTTTTTCTTAATTTCTGGCATCCAAACTAGCACATGTTAAAATGGAAAAAATTCTCCTCCACTATCATTTGCACATGAAAGCATCAGACCTGCAGGACATTTTTCTCGCCTGAACAGGAAACCTGAATGTTTTAATTTTATGTTAATTTTCAGAATATGACAGGCATTCTTTAAGAAACAGTCAAAAAACCACCCCCCTCTCTTACAGCAATGCATTTAATTATGCAAGTAGACAAACAAAGGATCCCTTTAGTGATTAGGGACTACAGTCAGCTAGTCAATGAGTTCTAACACTGGGTGGTAACTCATGGCAACAGGGGAGTCAGAGAAGACAGCAGGCCAGATACAAATAGCAGTCCATCTTGCTATTCAGGATCAGAAGAAACAGCACTGCAAAGGGAGGGGAAAAAAAAACAAAACAAAAACCCCCACCAGAACAGTAATGAACCTGCCAGAAAGCACAATTGGACCACTGCAATGAAAGGTTTATATGATAATGCTTACATTTTCCCCACAACCTTTGTGCTCCTCCTTTTACTTTATGCCTTACATTTTTGTTTAAGGACCATTTCAGTCTAGCTACTTTATTTCAGTTTTGGAGTTCTGAATCTTCTTTTCCTATTAATGACATAAAAAAAAGGGTGGGGAAAAAAGTGAATATTATCCTTACCGACTGCACGATCGATCGGGCATCCTCCTCACTGCAACAAAATGGGCTGCCACTCACCAGAACATTTGTGCTGAAAAATAAAATTAAAACCATGCTTTATCAATCAGTGGAAAAGAGACACACGCAATTAAGTACCTATGGAAAAAAACACCTTCATATATAGAGCTCAGAAATGTGTATCTGCAAAAAATGAGGAAGTCAAAAACACGAAGTAACCAGTAATGGCTGGAAGGGAACAGGGGTGTGGAGGGGTGTTGTTTCTTTGGGTTTGAAGGGTTTTTTAGGCTCTATGTTCTGTATTAATGCAAGCAGTGCTCACGCTCAGCGTTTCTGGCAGCTAACTTAGGTACAGTTCAGAGGACCACTGTTAAACTAAATCCCCCCAAAAAGCCAGCAGAAATAAACTGGCACTTCCTGAGGGAGTTGAAGAACACCTAGATGGCTAGCACAGATGGTGTGAAGATCTCCCTGTCTCTTGTGCCTTGAAGGTTGGCCAGATTCTGTGGCAGGCCACCCTTGGTTTGCAGTAACCTGCCTGAAGTATCTAACAAGAAGAAAAAAAAAAAAAAAAAAAGTCAAAATTCCGTTCCTACATAAAGCAGCAGACACCTGTACTGCTTCCAGACAGCAGACGAACTCTGGGACCAAATACTTCACAGAAACTTTTCCCTATGAATACATATCCTTTCACACCAAAAGTGAGTGTGGTCATGAGTTTTTAAGGTCCTACACAGTAAATGGCAAGAAGTTCAATTCCTCAAAGCAAGACTGCAATTTTAATTATTTTTTAATTTTGTCAACATGAAACTCAAAGTGCCCCTGAAATGATCAAGACCAAAATTTGAATATTATCCTACAGTATTCTTGCCATGCTGAAGTAGAACTATCAACCCGTCCAACTGCTAAGGTGTTCAATCAGCTCCAAGAAAGAGAAAGTCAAATTTTCCCAGTAAAGTAGAAGACAAAAGTGACTATCTGAGCACAGCTTCCTCCACAGCCTTTGCCCTCTGGTTTAGCTAATGGCAATCTACAGCCCTTGGAAAGCACCAGGCAAAAGATACCTGCCTGCTCTTCAGGGCCTCTGGTGGCAAAACTGCCAATGCAAACCAGAGAGCTTAATACAGTCCATTTTAATTTAGATCAGGTCAAAGGCTAGTAAAGAACAATCATTTGGTTCTTTGATTCCAGAGAACGATTAAAAAATATGGAATGCTAAGCTGCAAAAAAATTTTCCGTCACAGCGATGCAGCATGGAAGGATGGAATAAACAGTGACAAGAGGATTTGCATGGGATACTGAGATTCTCCCAAAATGATCCCGAACGCTCTGGGGCCACTTCTCAAAAGTTGAAGTAATCTATGTCACTTTTATATAATCAATATATTTTTGGAACCACTTACCAGTAAATTAGCATCACACAAGATGCAATTAGTCAATCATAGTCTATCAATTAACTATCAGTCAAAACCATGAGTATTCCTGTCATCTCAAAGTAAAAAAATCTAAGCAGTTCACGCACAGCTGCCACATCCTGAATACTACCAGTACTAGCACAATACAAAGAGGAAAAGACGTGACTGGATACTTACCACTTAATAGTGCCTCCATCAGCTTTTTTATGAAGCAAAGCTTTCCAGTATTCATGGGTGGATTTAATAATTTCAACAGCAAAATCCTAGTTTACATCAAGGAAAAGTTTTATGACTTAAAATGTTATTAAACAGAAAAAAAGCTACAAAACTAGTTTATTAAAACATACTGTTTCGTGTGTTATTTTAAGGGGCCTCCTTTGAGGCCTCATTAAACTTCTAGAAAATATAACACCCTTTTTTATGAAAAGTAACAAACTTCACTATCTGTCAAATGCACTGGCAACACAGTCAGGACTTTCCCTCAGCCTGCAGCCAGAAAACATGAAGGCTGCACAAAAAAATGAAATCAGCACTAGATGCTAAGCAGACACCTCCAGCTGCAGAAAACTGTACCAGGTCCCAAATGGGACAAAGTGTGTGAGCTATGACTCCTCTGTTACGCGTGCACATCAGGGTCAGAGTTAAAGTTTCCCCTCTAGTGGCAAAATTTGCATTTACTTCATTAATTGCCCAACCATATACTTAAGCATTTGCAAGAACATAACGTATCAGCTGCTTAACAGTTTTTGTTTGTTTAAAAGTAAAAGTAATATTGGGGGTGGGTATGAAAAAGCTTCAAAAAAATAAAGTAAAATAAGCCTTCGGTGTCCAAATGATGATATCTAGACTGGCTTGCAAAAAGCTGCCAACAGAACATTCACATTTCCTAACAAGGAGTGACTTGGCGAAATGCCACTGGAACATTGTGAACTTCACCAGAGCTGCTGGAGCACAGCCACGGCCGCCTCGCCACATCCTGGGTCTCTAGAAATGCTTGAGAATTATTCAAGTGCTCCAAACCAGCTATCTCAGGGCATTTAGTGCCTCAAGCCTGAACTCCAATGGCCTGACAGGGATATGCCCTGTTAAACTGTCACTACAGAGCAACGCTGCTTTACAGAGCGGGAAAATCTCTAAGAGCAGTTGCTGGGAGAACAGGGGAAAGATCACGTTATCAAGCCTTACATCTCTACATTTGATTGATTTAAAAGACAGTTTTAGTGCAGAGGGGAGTCAGGGCATCTCTTTAACCAGACAAAACATGTAAAGTTGTCTGTGCTGGTTAGAAAGCATTTTATAACCTTGATAGCACACTGCAAGGCTGAACTAGCTGACACATGGACATCATTCATTAGGAACCTGTGATTCTTCACCAAAAATAGTCTACAGAGAGTGTGCAATACACTATTTGCAAAGCATTTTTACTCAAATCACACCCAACTTCCTCTGGAAAAATCCAGGTATTTTCTTCAGCAAGGTCTATTCCCAGGTCCACTCTCCTTTCAAATGCTTGCCTTTTTTACTGTAGATAGTTTAAAATGCCATTCATTTTTTCTAAAAGAGGGAAAAATGTTTTTTTAGCCTTCAAGCCAAAAACATCTCACATGTTTTTACACAGAAGTACCAGGAAAAAGTACACCTTGAGCAAATACCAAATACGAAAAAATCTGCAACCTATTGTCTGTCTTAAACTGCATAGCCTTAAAAAAATGTCAGGAAAATTTATCAATCAAGACTGAAAAAATACCTGAAAAGACAATCTGCTCATTCCTCTGACAGGGAGAATGAGAATGCTGTGGAAAAAGCCACTACAAACATACAGATGCATACGTAAGTCTCATCAGGATTAGGACTGAACTTTTTTTTGCAGACTTCCTTTAATAACCTATGCATTTTCCCTGAATAAAATGGAAGACAGCAAACATTATTTATTCCTAGCCTAATAAATTGTATTCAAAGATCCCTCATATAAAAATTTTTTTTGTTAAACCTCTTCCTTTACAATTCCAAAAATTCTAGGTTGTATTAAAAGAGGCCATATGACAGAAAGATGCATCTTTAATTTTGGATTATCTTCACCTTGTCTTTAAATTCTCCATTAAAAGCAAACCGATTTTCCGGTTTACCATCAGGGACTTTATATAATCGGAACCAGTCAACCGTAGCCTCAAGGTAACCTGGTTTGTGCTTCTTGACATCTTCAATATCTGCAGGTTAAAAAGAACAAAAAAAAAAAAGTGATTTTTACTCACAGTTTTTGTAACATTCATTTTTTAAAGTCTCGTAAAGGATCTGCAAGCAATTTGATTTCACTGAGCACTTTCAAAGTCATTGGGGAACTTCACTTTATTACATTAGCTGCCCATAGTTGATATCTTATAATTTCACAACCACACTAAACAGGTAAGCCAGTTGCCTCCTGCCCTTCATTAATTAAGACCCAAAGGGACAATAAATAAAAGGACCATACTTGTGACAGGAGAGAAAGAAAATTCTGTGTTTATAGGCTTTCATCTCAGTAGGTACCTCTTGCAATATTTAGATTATTCAGTGAGGTATTTTTTTCCCCAGCAACTGCAGGGACTACAGGCATTTTTTGATAATGAAAGAATAGCTAGTAAAAACAATTTCAACACATGGATTTTTAAACCAGCACCTCAAAACAAAATACAGGCTTGACTTCCAAAAATTATATTAAAGGCATCCCTTTGCTCACATTACTTCCAAATTCAACCCGTTAGATACAAGACAGATACGTGCCAGGAGCACTAAACACTAACTCTACTGATAACTCCGTGATATCTGCATACTCACAGTGATAAGCCAATTCTACCTTTACCTCTATAATCCTACCGTGCAAAGATGGAACAGGACACAAAAGAGGAATGCATGCCATTTGCAGGACACCCTTGGGAGGCAGAGATGAACATTGCCCCAGTGGGTACAGAGAGATTAAACAGTCACACAGTAATTCTGCTCGAGGGCTGTACTGCTATAGCAAAGACACAGTTCATGATCTTAAACATTTACTTCTGCCGTGCATATCAAATTTTACTGGGTTGTCCTGTGAGACTACCATCACTCCTGTCACTTGCAATGAGGTGGTCCTATCAGCCCCATGGCAAACTAACTCTCTGGCAATATGTTTACATGGAAAAGTCTTTAATACAATTTTAACTGATTTTGATACAATAAAGGATTTTGTCCTTTCCAGAAGCCAAGTACTTTTTGTAGTTGGTATAATCCTTCTCTTTCCATCTATTTCCCTCCTACTGTCACTTCTGATGGAAATGGGAGCTGACTTTTTATTGCTGTGCTTTGCATGCAGCCTTCCAGCTATTTCATAACCTCACTCTGCCCAGGCCACCTTCCATGGTGCTATTCTCCTTCTCTAGTGTTTTCCAAGTTACTCACTCATTCTCCCTTCCTGATTCCCTCTTGCTCTCTCTCCGTACTGCTTGGCTATGTCATTCTCTTCTCGCATAGACATGCCTCTCTCACTGACATCTCCTGGTTGGCAGTGATTCCTGATGGATACTCTTCTGTCTATCCAGCCCTATAAAATAGATTTTCAGAGTTGTTTAGTCTACGGAATTGACACCTAGTCATGTGCTTTCCATCTTTAAGTGCCTAACTGTCTTTTTAAAATCTAGTCTGTGAACCTGAGCAAAGACATTCAAGTATTTCTAAAGCGAATAGTAAGAGAAGGGAAAAAGTCTTGTGCTACAGACCATTCCATTCTCTGTAGACCACCAAGAGAGATGACACGTGGACTGAACTGTAAGACCAAACGTATACGAGAAGATATGCTGAATGTTCAAAGGCATCTGATAGATGCCACTCCCAAATTCCACTGGATCACATGCTACCCAAAGAATAAAACATAAAACTTTTAAGAACCCTATGCAAATTTTTGCTTCTGCACACACTTAATAGGGCTACGTGTTTATGGACTTGGAATAAAACACATTTTGAACTTGGCTGCTGGCCATCTGCCTGCAGAAGATTAGGGAGTTTCATTGGCAGAATCCCAGAAAAAAGCAAGGGCACATAAGGCTGTGCTTGAGGCAGGTCTTCTAGCTGGAATACATGCTTAAGAGTACAAGAAGCCATTCACTAGGGTGGGTGGGTGAGACCAACCAAGAAGGAATGATTTAGAAAAGGGTGGGGTCTTGGTTGGAGGCAGGATGCTTCATTTGGACACTAACAAAACTGCAGCTCCAATTCAAATCGGTTTCAGGGCTCCAGTGTTCTCTCCAAGCAAGGGAACATCCCTCCTCCTATCTTGAGCCCTTGTCATCTCCTCTTCTTGTGAGGTTTGAACTCAATTTCTAGGACTTGTTGAAGATACAGTATCTCCTCAAGCAAACCAGGCTGCTGCAGCAATTTCCTTGGCTTCCAGCAGTGGATGAACTCCAGGTCTCCATCTCCAGACACTGCTTAAATTCAAACATACTTTCTCAGACTGCTGCTCCTTTTTTCTGGTTCCTATTCCCGCAAACTTCTCTCCTAACTCTGCTTCTCCATTCCTCCTACTTGGTTATTTGCTTCCTATTCCAATAAAAACTGTTCATCAAAAGTGCTTTACCATCTACTAACTGACACTTGGGCCCTTCCCCATCTGTTGTTCCTTTTTTATAGGCTTTGTTTATATTTATTTAAAGGACTCAAATATTAGAATAGGCTTTGGGGCAGGCTTTCATTACTTCCTTAAGATAGGGATGACTGTCTTCATTGATAGAATCATCTCTCTGAATTTCACACTCTCTCTACTGGAAAATACCTTGCCTAGGTAAAATGACTACACACAATCAGGCTACAGCACTATATGCCCCCTAAAGTACTAGCTGCTGTATATTCTGTTTTGAGGACTTAAGAAGGGGGACAGTGGTTGCTTTTATTTCCTTGGTTCCTTGCAAGTTAGGCTCCTTCATCCCCATGCTTCACTTCACTATTCTTTATTATGAAGGACAGCTACTGGGCACCAAATGAAGCCTAAATGGCTGAAGAAAAAAAAAAACAACAACAACAACAAACACTAAAACATCTGTATTATAATGGGAGTTGGTGGCAAGCAGCAGGAAAAAGTGCAACTGAGAAAAAAAAAAATCAATCCTGTTGCTGTGGAGTCAGCACATAGCACAAAATATAAGGAAAACAGCAGCTCTTGCATCACTCAACAGCTACCTCTTCAGTTCATTAAAAGGTGCTATAGAAAAGCTTGAAAGACAGCTTGTCCTCCACTTTGAAACCCAAACAGCATCTTTGGGATATCAGGGAGAGGAGGAGAAAAACATACTTAGAAAACAGAAGAAGTAAGCAAAGAAAGGTAAAAGAAAAGAAAAGACAATAAGCAGCACAGTGATTTACTGCACTAATATCTATAGAAGCTAGCTGCATATTATGAGAAAAAAACCAATACTTAGATGTCTTTTCTACAGCAGGCACTGTTAGACACTTTTTTCTGACCCTGACTGCTTACCTTCCCTTAGAGCTGTGTACTCACACTGATGTTGAAAGGGGCTGAGCAAGTATGGGAGTAGCAAGCATGCCCCTGGCCTAACGTGATTTCATCTCTGCAAGCAAGCCCTGCTCAGAGTGACAGAGCAGAAAGGTCAGGCTCTTGCAGGTACATTATCAGCACATAACCACTGGTGGTAGTTTCTTTATGCTGTCTACATACAAACATAGGTCCCATTTTTCTGGGCACCAAAGTTAAGCACCAAGGGTTAAAAAGAGATGGCTAATCACATTAAGGGTTGCAGTTTAGTCTCAATAAGGAAAATCTCTAGAGGTTGGCACAAACAACTGCTGCTAGCTCTCTGTCAAGGGAGTGAGCCAATGCAAACGCAGATCCCAATTCTATCTGGCTTTACAAAAGAGAGCAACAAAAGCATTTGTACAAAACTACCATTTTTAGTACAACAGATGCTGCTTCTTGCAAGCAAAGCTAAAACAACATGCTTGCAGCAAGCTTTCTAAACAAGGTCTGTGGGAAGAGAGGACATATGTTTTTAATAACATCTTATAAACATTTACAGGAAGCAGCAGCTACATTCCATATAAAGGCATTTGGTGTATTTCGTGCAGCATGGTGTGAGGGGGTAGGAGGGGAGCCTCAGTACAGATAATTAATTTCTTTATATTGAATGCTTACACAAATCCACAACAAAGGTTTTCAGGGCCTCTGCTGCTTCTCTGCATATAAATACACTCACATGCAAGGGTCTATAACAATATATGGTACAAAGTATGCAATATGCTTTGTTTTTGCTGTTTAGGGTTTGATCACTTAACTCAAAAAGCCAATCTTGTGTTGCACATTGGAAAAGAAGCATGGCAACGTAGCACAGTTAACTATACCAGCGCCAGCAAATGGTAACGCAACCAAGCCGGTAGATACCACCAACTGCTGTTGAATATATCCCGGCACCTTTCCAGTGAGCAATAGCAAAAAATGGCTGCTAAGATTCCAGGCCAGTAAATCACCTCCAAAATGCCATCCAGCATACATGATTTGTCCAATTTGCTCAGGGAAGGTAAGAAGACCTTTTGAGAGCCAGACTTTTCATAAGCTGCTTCAAACACACTTCCTGCTTCAACTGCCAGTGATTTTCAAAACCTCTTGTCCAACATGAAGATGCCATAGACATTTAGACCAAATTACAGGACAAAAATATCACTCATCCTTTCTGAGCCAAACCTTGTAAAGCACATCAGATATGTATGTGAATTCCAATATAGTCAATTCAATCCAAATTATGAGATAAGCAGACAAGCAGCCCTTCTACTCCAAGAATTTGCTGCTTCTCCTGGCTAGTATTTTATAAAAACCAACCAAAAAGCAACAACAACAACAACAACAAAGCAGCCAGGCCTATTACACCACCAAGATTTAGTGTTTCAGTGTGCAGTGAGCTTTTCGGCCCTTTCCCAGACTTGCTTGATCTGAAGTTGCTTTGCTGGTCTGCTAATGGCCATCTGCCTAGCAACTGCCTGAGCAGAAAGACAACACAGTGGTTTTCAGGTAGCCCCAAATACAGATCTCATTGAAACAGATAAATCTGAAGATGCCCAGTCTTAGTCTAAAAGAAACTTTCTCATACAGATACCTACATCTGACACACAGCTTGTATTTGGAGTGAGATTGTCCTCATGCCCACCAGTATTAAATGCTATAATTTCAAACAGATTACCTTCCAGTCAGTCCAAAAAGACACTAAGCCCCTGCTATTCCCACTGATGACACAATTCCCACTTGAATAGGTGCTAAGCATTGCTTATCCTTCCTGGGTATTGTCACTATAAACTAGAGTTTCTCATTGCTCTGTGTGAAAGAGAGAGTTCTAGGCAGGGTTTCCAGTTTAAAACACTATTTATCAATAAATGCCTGCAGGACACAGTACAGTGGAGTGCTATGAATAAACAATTAGAACTGCTCAGAAGTTGGGACTGCTCAGTTTTAAGTTCTGTGAAGTCTCAAAAAATCCAACTGCACTTACGAGAACAATCTCAATCCCAGAAGGAGAATATACAGAGTACCTAGGGTGTGCTTAAAGCAGCAAGAGGAGCTAACACATCGCGTGGGCTCAGGATGGGGTTTGCGAATAATCACCACTCTGGTGTGTTGGAATTATCTTTTCCAAATGTTCGTTGGGGGCTGCGCACATACTGAGCTGAAAGCAAATGTGATGATTCTCAGTCCAATTCAAAATGTTTAGCAAATGACACAAAAATGACCGAACAGACTTAGAAGGCAACACTTAGCCTCA